ATTGCGTGGAAGAGTCGGGGGCCGGCTTCCCTAAAGGTGGGGTTACCCGCGCGCACACCCACACCAGTCCGAACCTTTACTCCCAAGACAAGGCAGCGCGACGAGAGCCGCATTCTATACTTTACACCCCGTGCCATCCAGAACGAGGCAACTTAAGTACTGAGATAACGTCGTGGTCCTAACGTTTTTTTTTTTTTTTTTTCCATATTATTATTTCTATTGCAAATTTGTGGGACGAGGGAAGAAGAAAGTTCAGGACGGTGGTCATCTTCTCCTTCCCTTTCTGTTTCCCCCACCCCACCCTTGTGTTTTCACTGCTAGCTCTCTCCCATCTCGCCCTCCCTCCCAGTGCGCAAACAGGCGCACGTACCCTGGACGTGCTCGCCTAGTCACACCAATGCCCTTCCAGAAGATATGTGACCCTGGAGCAGCTTGGCGACTCGCTCTTCCCGGACTCTGGAGCCAGAGCTTGCCTCTCCTTTGCCAATTCACGTGACACTGAGACTGTGGTTTGAACCCAGTTTCAAGGAACAGAGATTATATCTTCGGAATCTGTAGGTCTTTTTGGCTCAGAACTTTCCTGATTACCCAAGGTGGTAATGCTCCCCCCAGCCCCCCAGTCGCCTTTTGATTACATGTTTTTTTCCTAAGGCTTGCATTATGGTTTTCTAAATATACATATATATCCCACCGCATTATTTGCTGTGCTCTGGAGTTGTGAGATCTTCATGTGGTTTCCCCCCTTTCCATTGCCCCCTGAGGAATTTCACTGGCAAAGCCAGAGGACAAGGGCAGTTTCTGTGTTGAGAAATGGGAAGCACAATGAGGGTCTATTCTTCATGGTGCCTCTAGAGAATGTTAGAACCTAGCTCTCTTGGGTTTTAAACCACATGGTGGCAGTGGGTCTCATATAACCCAGTCTTCACTATGACATACATAAACTTATATAGAAATGAGGCCCACATAAAATATGTTGAATGGGTCCATTAAATTTCTGAGGAGGAAGAATGTAGTCATGTTTGTTTTTGTGCTAACTGGAAAAAAAAATAAACAAAATACAAAGTACTTTTCATGAACATCTGCCAAAGTTGTTCCATTTTATGCTCAGCTAGAGGAGATGGAGCTGGAGATGATTTCCATGGGGGGGGGGGAATTATCCATAAGTCACTGTAATGAAGGATTTTTAAGTCAATGGCTGAATTTTTGTGAACTGGTCAACAACAACAACAAAGAGAAAAGTCTTTATCTTTCATTTAGTCCAAGTTTTTTTTTTTTTTTTAATTACCAGTTGTTAATTAATGGGCACAGAAAATCATGTATTTGGCCAAAGCTTGATTTTTAATGAAATAAAATAGAGTAAAAACACCAGAATACATCATTCATAGTGGGGGTAATATACTCTATAAATCTTTACTTCCAGTTAAGTATAGATGTGTGTACAGGTCAACCACATAATATGTCTTTCCATACTGTTCCTTGATGTCAAAGCTTGAAATCCACTAATGAAGTGCAGTCTCTTGCCCTGCAAGCCCCCTCCCACCTAGTTAGTAGGGTATATAGTTTCTCTCCTAGTGATCTTCTGTTAACTCTAACTCACTAATTGTAGAGAACAGAAGGAGGGTGAAGAAGTAAAAAGTAACTATTTTTTCAACATTTTTTTCATTTTTTCAATAATGTGCATTTCAAAAAAGGTGCTTGAGCAGCTCCTATCTCTCAGATCTCTTGCTAAAAACTGGGAATTCAGTGGTGAACAAACCAACATGTTGCACCTACAGTCTATAATCCAATGGGGTCACAGACATGAATCAACATAAAACATGTTGCACCTACAGTCTATAATCCAGTGGGGTCACAGACATGAATCAACATAAAAATAGCTACATGTGATAAATGCCTATGAAGGAAAGTATGATGTGATAGCAAAAAAATGGTGTTGTAATTTAGGCAAGGAGGCTGCAATTAATGATTAACCCAATTCAAACTGTCTTAGATGATAAGGAGATTTATTGTGTCGTATGACAAGTCCCAAGGTCGAGAGGCTTTGACTGATAAATTCAGCAACTCAGTGATGTCAAGGAAGTCTGGGCTGTTTCCGTTATTCCCACAACCTTCTCCAAGCACACCAACTCTGGGTCTGCCCCACCCATAGCTCCAGGACTGGGACCAAACTGGAGCAGCTCCCATTATGACAACAATCCTGAGAGTGCCCAGTGGTAGCAATTTTCAAATAGGGAAAACTTCCAACAGAGGAGATGATGCTAAGGAAAATAAACAAGGAGGAAAATGAGTTACTGGATGCTTTTACTCATAGGTGGAATATAAAGAAACAAAAGAAAGGAAAGGAAGAATGATGCAATATATGTGTGTGTGTGTGTGTGTGTATATATATATAATAAAATATAACATCAAAAAAGAAAGGGTCAGACAAAAACAAACCCTAGAAATCTGACTATAAAACAATTGAATTGTGTTAAAAAACAACACCCTTGGAGGCTATCAGAGGGCAGGGGGAATGTGGAGAGGAAAGGGGTGGGGCTTCCAGAGGTCCATGGTGGAGGACTGTGGGTGCCTTCCTAGTAGAGGGTATGGTGGGGTGACACACATGTGAAGAGCTAGGAACCTACACCTCTGCATCACAGACAGTGTTGTAAACCAATGTTACCTCAATTAAAGAAGTAAATAAAAGAAATAACAGAAAAAAAAAGCTTCTCGTAATCTTCTTGCCTATCATCAGTCCAAGCTGAGTCACATGCTTATGTTTAAGTGCTAAGAACAAAGGGGGATCATGTGACTAGGGTAAGTTTTTCAGGATTTGCCCATGAACTCTTCAGGGCTTTGATCTTTGAGAAATGGATGGTGGGTAGTCATCCATTTCTACCAGGGCTCATGGATGCCTTCCCTTCAGAAATGACATTTAACCTCACTATGAGTTGGAGTCAACAAAGCAGTGACCTGGAAGGAGAGAGGAGTCTATAAGAGGTGCTAGACTCTGAACTATGTCTTTTTGTTATTTAAAGTTTTATTTTATTTATTTATGCATATAAGAACTGGGGTGTAAAAGAGGTGCAGGGAGGTGAGAGGATTCACCAGAGACAGAGTAGGGAGCAGAACAGGCAGATGTACTAAAATACACGACTGAGGGGAGTTTTGTGTGAGACAGGAGAAGTCTACTGTTCCATGTGGGTCAGCTCCCTGGCCAGGGATCAAACTCATGCTGCAGTGGCTGGCTATAACTTGATAGAGGTGAGACTTTAACCCCTGGGCCACCAAGGAGGCCCTGATTATAGCTGTCTTTAAGCCTGATTGCAATTTCTCATTTACTGTGGTGATCCTAGGAGGTAACTGAGAAAGCAAGCATAGAGTTAGATAACATAATCTGATTCGCAGAACTAGTCAGTTGCAGAACCAATCTATTTAACTTCAGAGTCTAAAATCTTGACCTTGTCTGAGTCTCTGGAAATAGCAAGAAACCTGGTCACTGACTGAGAAACACATTTTATCTCTAGAAATCCTCTGCAAAATTTCTCTGGGCCCACTGCTAGTGCAGGACAAAGGTTTATGAATTAAGCTCTCTGGCTTTCTTATCTACCACACCAACACCCCCACTCCCACCCCCGCCCCCATGGGCTGCCATTTTAATTGCTAAAGTTGAAAACTTAGATCATTCTGCCCTGCTTTCATATTTAGGTTTTCCAAAATCCCCCTTTGGATTTGGTGCTCTTGCTCACCTGGTGCCAACCATACTCAATAATGTTATAAAACTAAGCCAGTTGATTCCTCTGGTCTCCCTATTATCTGATATCTCTGCAGACACAAAGGCCATATTCACTCCAAAACCAAGTATTTTTCATGAAGTGTGTTGATTTTAGAGATTTTATCCTCTGTGATCCATATAAGTGTGTTACTCCAAGTCACAATTACTTGTTAACTTGGCCATTTCCCTTATTAATCTTCAGAACAGGGACTGTGTTGTATTATACCATCAGAACATACCTAACATCCATCTTTGCAATACATAAAAAACAAGAAATTCTATTCTTCAATCTGCTGTCTCTATTTTCTTGAAAGAAAACACACACACACACACACACACACACAAAACTGATATTAGACCTGAGGGACAAACCAACTCTGGCTCTACTTCCTCTGTCGCGTTTCATTACTATTATCACACGGTCTTCCAGGCCTAGCACTGCGAACATCATTCTCCGTTCCACTCACGTTTCTCCAAAGGGACAATGGCCTCTCATGTGCTGAATCCCTCTCTGCTGATCCCTGGGGGGCACCTCATTATTACAGCACATTTGGACAGTGTTCCAGCCCCTGTCTGAGAGGAATCACTGAGTTACAGCAGGATAGAGGGGACACTTGCTGAGTTCCAGGGAAGAAGCACTAGCTCTCCCACCCCGTCTCTGAGCTTCTGACATCTCAGGGACCTAATATAACAGCTCCCAGCATGCTGTGAACTGGATTTCCTGAACTTTGGGCAGC